CGCGATTTTTTTCCAAACACCGCCGACGAGAAACACTTTTAATTATTTTTAACAACCGCTGTTTCAAGCGTTTCGGGAAATTCGTCGGGGATAAAAAAAAAAAAAAAAAGGAAAAAGAAAAAAGAAAAAAAGAACGCGGATGGAACGAGGGAGAGAAGAGAGGCGGGAACGAACGAAACGCGGATAGGGTTACTAACGATTTCGATTTTGCATCGGTCAAACCGAGCGTTGGATTTCCCTCCCTCCTCCGATGCTTTTTTGATCCGACCAGTCACCGCGGTGACTAGGGTGGCCCTTCCAGGTTTGCCGTTCCAGGTTCTGGATAGAAAGCGAGGAGGAGGGCTCGTTCTCGTTCCCCAGGCGCCAATGACGCCAATCTCCCGTGTAAATCGCGACATATTTCACCGACCTCCCGCTCTTCTCTCCGTCGCGCTCCCTTCTCGCGCCCACCCTCCTCCGCTTTGACAACCTCGTGAACGCTCTTACCGCGATACTTGGAGTAAAAAATCGGATAAAAAGTTCTCCTCCCGCTATCCTCCCCTAAAGAAGGAGGGTTAACTCCTCCCGTCAGAGCTTCAACGCGTCAACGTGGACGATTCGAAAGCTCGAAAGGAGATCAATAATATGGATAAGGAACGATCGTTTCGCTCGTTTGGGACTCGTTCCGCTCGAACGTCGAGTCGATATCGATATCGGAATTTATTTATAAGTCGGCGGACGAGTGTCACGGTGCGGTGAGCAAAAACCGGATGTCACGCGTACAATTGCGGGGGATGCAATTTTTGGAATTATCGACTCGTGAACGAGCGCGCGAGTTTTCCGCCGCGTGCATGCGCGCTCGTAGACACGCGGCTGGACGAGAGCGAAAACCACCATCCCCCTCGGCTCTGTTTGTTTTTGATACGGTTTTCATCGCGAACGATGGTTCACGCGCCAGCTGCGTCTACACGCAAATGGTAAACCGCCTACTTTCCTCGCAACGATGTAGATAATGGCCTCGACTGTGCTCTCGTGAAAGCTCGTAAAATCGGCCAAGTGTCAACCGGTCGCGATATAACACGATTCGCCTACGTTGCATTGCATAGCATAATGATTTTCTAGCTTTGCTTAAAATGATGTCAGACTTTAAAAAAAAAAAAAAAAGAAATTAAGAAAATGTATTTCGATTTTGAACTCGTTTACATATTTTTTTCCATTCCATTTTTTTAACATCATTAACGAAAGTTGATGAACGCGAGAACGTGTTTTTCTTGCAATTATTTAAATTACCCGTTTTCGCATTCGGCGTGTATTACGGCGATATATTGTAATCGACAAACACGATTTTCGTAACGTTCACGCAATTAACCGATAGTAAATTGGACCGACGGATGTTATTCTAAATACATTGTTGACAGATACATCGTACCCTGATAATTCAAATTCAACGTGATTTTCCACGAGGCGAATTAACTTCATCAACGTCTATCCCAATAACCGATTTGACAAAGTTCATCTCCCATGAATCATAACCCGTTCACGCTCCGTGTAAACATATTCATTCCTCTCTAATTAGCGGAATTTTCGTCCGGATCCAACGTTTAATCTCCACTCTCCCCCTTTCCTCCTCCTCCTCCTCCCTCCCCCTCCCCTCCCCTCCGAATCGAATAAACGGAAATTCGGTTTATTTCGAGAAGAAACTTGCCGGTTAACGAATCCGCGAAAACCGCCCCAGGTTTAAGAAAATGGAAGCGGTCGCGACACCTGTTCCCTCTTCCACACAGGCATCGAGGCAAACTTGAGAATTAAGAGATTCGCGGAGAAAAGGGGAGGAAGGAGGGAGAGAGGGGTCATTCGATTATTTCCACCCATTAAAAGCCTCCCTTAACATCCAATCGCGAACGCCACTCCTTTCCCGCTACCACCACCTTCTTTTCCAACTTTCTTACACGAGTTTTACATTTCGCCGGGAAGGATGGTGGTGGTGGACGGGAAGGGTGAAAGGGAAGAGATAGGAAGGGAGAGGATAGGGAGGAGAGGAGGAGCGTAACTCTGCAAGTTCCTCGACCAAGAAGCTTATCTTGGGCCACGAGCATCGACAACCTTCTCTCTCTCTCTCTCTCCCTCTCTCTCTCTCTCTCTCCTCCCTTTTCTTGTCGGTATCATTGGTATTCCGCGCAGTGGCGCCAATATTGCGTTACCGGAACGCGTCCTGCAAGTGGAATCTTCGGCTACGACTCAGGCCACGATGACACCGAGCAACTCTCTCTTGTAAGTCACACCGCAGAGATCCCTTCTCTGCCACTCCTTTTAATTTACACTCGCCGAAATTAATGTCGGGGAGTCATCCTCCCCATCGGCCGGTAATAGAGACGGTTGGATTTTTTTTTTTTTTCCCCCTTTTTCAATCGTTCCTAGACCTCTCTTCCGCAAAGCTTCTTTCAAGAAAGGAAAGGAAGGAAAAGGAAATTCTTGTCGAGAAGTTGTCGGTAACAAATTTCACTTCGTTTTCTTAAGCGTTCCCCGGATAGACGGTAAGCTCCTCTTTTTTTTCCTTCGGTCGGGACATCTCTATGGTAATTTTCTTCCTTTTTCTTTCTTTCTTTCTTTTTTTTTTTTTTTTTTTACAGCGTGTCTGAAATCGCGAAAACGGTTCGAAAATTGTCAAAGGAGCGACGAACTCTTCCTTCAAGAGAGAGAGAGAGAGAGAGGGAGGGAGAGGCTTTACGAAATAATTGTACGCGCGTAATATATTTTTTTCTTCCTCCGTATCCGGTTTTTTCAAATTCAACCGGCGCAATAAATTTCCTCCCGCGTTACGTTTGCGCCGGAAAGATCGAATCGTTTGAAGCAGCGGCGAAAGGAAAAGAAAAAAGAAAAAAAAAAGATTAAAATTCGACGACGCATTATAAACGAGGCACGAGGAACGGTCGCCGAGGGGATGTTTTCCGCGCGGTGAAACGACGAGCCAACCCCTTTCGTTCCTCTCAATTCCGAGCGGGATCGCGGAATCAAGTGTTTGAGATTATGACGGAGGCTTCGGTCACGTATTTCATTAACCGTGATGCTGTCGGTTCCGGAGCGTTCCGCGAGAGGGGGAGCGGGGGAGAGAGAGAGAGAGAGAGAGAGAGAGAGAGAGAGAGAGAGAGAGAGAAAGAGAGTGGTGGCGAATCTCTCGAGGGTGCAGGTAGCCGCGAAATATGTTTGCTTTGCGTTACATCCCCCTGGGATGATCCCGTTATAATTATGAATGTCCTTGTTGTCCCGCGGATCTCTTCTTCGCCTCTTTCTCCTCCCCCTCCCCCTTTAATCTCGTCGAGGGTATTCTCG